AGACTCCATCTCAAAAAAAAAAAAAAAAAAAAAAAAAAGGCCTACACAATCAACATTTACGTCTCCTAAAGGGCTGAACACAAAATAATTTTAGGTGTCCCATGAAAACCATTTATTACTTTCCTAACTATGCATGCATTAATTTTCATTTTTTAGACAGGGTCTCGCTTAGTCACCCAGGCTGGAGTGCAGTGGTTCAATCATGGCTCACTGCAGCCTGGACCTCCTGCCCTCAAGGAGCTTGGGACCACAGGGGTACTGCATTCCAGCCTAGTGGACAAAGCGAGACTCCAGCTAACAGGAAAAAAAAAAAGGCCAGGTGCAGTGGCTCATGCCTGTAATCCCAGCACTCCGGAAGGCTGAGGCCAGCAGATCATGAGGTTAGGAGATTGAGACCATCCTGGCTAACACAGTGAAACCCCGTCTCTATCAATAATACAAAAAAATCAGCTGTGCATGGTGGCACATGCCTGTAGTCCCAGCTACTCAGGAGGCTGAGGCAGGAGAATTGCTTAAACCCCGGGAGGTGGAGGTTGTAGTGAGCCAAGATCATGCCACTGTACTCCAGCCTGGGCAACAGACTGAGAGTCCGTCACAAAAAAAAAAAAAAAATCGAGTGCACACTATGCATCACGTGCCCAGTGTGTTAGCAGCTTCCCACGTGACCTCATCAACCCTCACAAGAAGCCTGTGAAGTTTCAGGCATCCTCGTCCTACCTGTTTCACAAGTGGGGGACCCTAGTGCTAAGCACCTCGCTTGAGGTTAAGCTAGGATTTAGAGAACGGGGTGTGAATTCAGGAGGTCAGATTACAGAGAGGAGGACAACTGAGGTTTGGGAAAACGACTTGGAAAGTTCAAAAACAAACAACTAATGTGCATCCCTTATAACCCATCCCCAGTCCTGCACCAAGCTTTTTCTTTTCTTTTTTCTTTTTAAGACAGTCTTGGCCGGGCGCGGTGGCTCAAGCCTGTAATCCCAGCACTTTGGGAGGCCGAGGCGGGTGGATCACGAGGTCAAGAGATCGAGACCATCCTGGTCAACATGGTGA